CCTTCAGGGTGTTTGGGTTGGGCCTTCCTAGCCATTTTCCTTCTACTCAACTCAGATCTTAATTAAGCTATTTGTCCTTCAGTTTACAATGACTAAACAATGAGATAATTCACTTCCAGGTTCCAAGACAGAATTTGGCTTTTTCAAATTGATCCATTTAAACAGAGCTCTCATCCTTGACATACAGCATCTCTTATCTACATTAACAAAAAAAAACCACTAGAGCAGAGTCTACTTGACATCATAAAAAGTAGTGTTTATGTTTATTATATTATTTCAACTGTGAATGTTTTCCCATTCTCATTCCCATTCTCATGACTCTCTTGATTAGAAAACCTGCTATGGTTTGGAATTGACACTTAAGCTAGCTCACAGCATCCTTTTGAAACAAATATGAAAATTATTTAGTAACAAGTTATTAGGATGGTTTTCAATCTCACAATGATGAGCCTTGTTAAACAACATGAGGCTCCATATAGTTTTGCCACAGGATTCAATGTGATTTTATGTACAATAAAGTACAAAGAAACCTGCTTAAAGGGCCTTACACATAGGAAGCACTCAAATATTTGCTGATTTGAATGCAAAAGTGACTTCCTGCTAAAGTCCTTTACCTGCCAAATTTACAGGACTGCTTAATAAATAATAATCCCTTATGTTTACAGAGTTCCCACAGCACATAAATTGACAAGGCTAACAAAGCAAGATTATGTGTTTCTATAATGCCAGCAGGCTATTACTGGGGACCAAAATCAAACCTTGAATAAACAAGTTTACTTATATTTTAAAATTTCTGGATAAAACTCTGATTAGTAGATGAGGTTAGAGTCATAGAATCTTAGCGTTAGACTAGGTGACCTTTATAGTCCCTTCCAACTCATTAACCAAAGCATGAATTTTATAATCAATGTTCCATTAAGTGTTAGCCACCAATTAAACATCTCCAATGATTGTGAACTTAATACCTCCCCTCAATAGCCCATTCCACTTCTACACAACTTTAATTATTACAAAATTCTTCCTATTGAGCTAAAATCTACCTCTTTATAATTTCCATCCATTAGTCCAGGTTCTGCCCTCTGGAATGATGCAGAAAATTCTAAGCTCACTCCCACATAATAACCCTTCAAGAATGTGAAGATAGCTACTATGTTCTATCCAAGTTTCTGAATTTTGGTTTCTCATTCAGCATCTTTTCCATATCCATCACCATACTGGTTATACTCCACTTTGTTGATGTCCCTCTCAAAATATGGTTCACTAACCTTAACTCAGCAATACAGATGTAATCTGACCAATTCAGACTATAGTGGGGACTACTAATAGTAATAGCCTTGATCTGGATGGTATATTTATTAATGCAGTCTAAAATTATAATAGCTTTTCAGAAGGCCTTATTCTTATATTCAAATTTCTAATCAAACCAAATTCTCTCTTTTTTTATATGAATTACTATTTAGTTACATATTTACTGATTATATTTGCCTTTTTCACTCTAGGTACTAGCCTTTCCTTAGAATAAATTCATTTTAAATTAGGCTTTAGGCATGGGTCTTTGAGAACAGTGAAGATTGGGGCAGCTAGGTGGCAAAATGGATAGAGTACCAGCCCTGAAGTCAGGAGGACCTGAGTTCAAATTTGACCTCACTTGAGACTTACTAGCTGTGTGACCCTGGGCAAGTCACTTAACTCCAATTGCCTTTAAAAAAAAAGAGAGAGAACAGTAAAGATCCTGAAACTGTGTTTCAACAAATGAGCCAATCCTCCCATTATGTCATCTCCAAGTTTAAAAGGCATGTTACCTATGTTTCCATCCAAGTCACTGATACAAATGGAACACGGAATAGACCTGCAGACAGGCCTTAGGCAAGCCATCAAAACGCCCCTTCCAGGTTTCTATTAATTCTTTAACTGATACTTTTTTTGTCTGGCCATTCAGCCAGTTATGGACCAAGCTAAATATACAGCCATCCAATTAACATTTTATGCGCCATCTACAAGAATATTGAGAGAAAGTTGTGCCAAATGTCTGGCTAAATGAAGGTCTAATACATTTCCCTATTCATATCAGAAATACCAACCTGTCAACAAAGCAAATGAGGTTAACTGGCAAGATTTATTTGTTCTTAATAAATCTTTGCAGGTTTCTAGTGATCACCAAATGCCTACAAACCATAAACAGATAAGTTGTTCTAGAACTTTGTTGGGGATGGATAGATGTTAAACCCATTAGTTTGCATTTTATAGAATACACCCACTTTCTTAAAAAAAAATCAGGAAACATTTGAACATCTCCACTACTGGGCACCTCTCCAATCTTCCAGGATTCCTCAAATACTGATTCAGCAATCACTTCTGGTCACTCTTGCAGATTGATCTGATATACTTTATTCCAAACAGGTGATCAGAAGGTATTTAATAAATGCTTGTTGACCATTAGTGCTTCTTTTACTATCTCCTCACTCGTCCTAGGCTTCAACTACCTTTTAACTAAAGGATGAAAACTTTGTTTTATACCTTTCACTGTGAAGATCATTCTTCTGGATAAATAGGGACAGAATATAACCCTTTTCTCCCCACCCCCCACCCCCTTTTCACTGTTAACATCTAGGTATGGGTGAAAAATACCACCTAAATTCCTGAGCAATTAGTCTTAAAGTCAAGCTTTGAACAGAATTCAGCTATGGTACCTTTAAAGTGGGCCTGGGGATAAAGAACTGGTGAGTTATTTTTGTTGTTGTTTAATAAGTCATAGAATATTTAACAAGCAAAGGCCACATATTAGAGAGTAGCACTCAATTAGGGGTCAGAAAATGTGGCTCTAGTCCCAGCTCTTCTACTAACTAACTATTTCACCTTAAGTAAGTCATTTGACTTCCAAGTCTTGGTTTTCCTGTAAAATAGGGATAGTATCTACCATGGCTATCTCATAATTTTGCTCTGAAAATCAGAAAGAGAGAACAGATGTGAAATAATATTATGAACTGCAAAAAATACTGTGCAACATTCAAACTAGATAGACCCCTGTAAAAAAGCTTACAACCCCAGTTAATAAAAATCCCACTCTAATCATTCTGACTCTACTGACTTCAAAATTACCCAGAATGAAACCTAAAGGATGGAAAAACTATAAAATTACAGGTGAATCTCTATGACAGTGACCTTCCACATCTCAGAGGCCTTATATCAAAAGTTCTGTTCAAGGAGAATTCATGTAAAGTCACTGTAAATATTTACCAAAGTTATCACCCAGTGGGAAACATGCATCATTTTCCTTAAAAACCAAACAAAAAAATGCTCCAGACCGAGTGTCCCAAAAGGTTTGAAAATAGAATAAAATGTGTCTCCAAAAGTTATGGCATTTTGGAGATATTGCTTAATGATAAGTGCTTCCTTTGAGAAGTAAACTGCATACCCATTTTTCACAAGTTACTAGGTTAAACAATAATACACTATGGCTCTACTCCCATGTGGAGTTTGGAGCTGGCTTTATCATTTAAAAAAAACTGAACATTGTCTTTATTCTGCTTTAGACAACAGTCTACTAAAAAGGTCTACTAAAAAGAGCTATAATTGGCAGTATGAAGAGAATGGCATTTCTAAACATTCTCTAAAATGTGGCCAACCATTTTGAACAGCATATATCAATCCAATTGGAATGTCAGGGCAAAGGTTTCTTATTTCAGTAATTTCATTGTATTATATGATTTCATAACATTTCAACAATGTTATAACATGTTTATGATTTATTTAAATCAAAATCTCCCTTACATATCAATTTCTCAGGAAAAAAAAGAGATTAGCTCAGCTTATATGAGCAAAATAAAACTATGTTTTCAACCTATTGATGTTGAACCTGTTTTTTTAACCTTAAAAATGGATTATAGAATTAGTCTCCCCATTTAAAATATCCAGTACAGGTTGCTTCTCACTTAATCAGCATGACACAGTCTTGCCCTTCACAGGACTCCCACTGGGTGCCACTGAAAAAAGGATGAGGCTAAACAATCACTAGACCTAAAAGATTCTGAAACCAGATCACAGAAGCTGTGAAAGAGATGGCCCATTGGCTAAAAACTAGAAGCAGCGAAAGCCGCACAAACCCAGACTAACGACCCATGTGGGAATGCAAACCTTGCCCTGCTAAGAGCTATGAATAAGACAATCGCTTCCTGACAGATGCTGCCAAGTCCAGTCAAGGGCTCAGCCAAAAGGGCTCCTTTGGTCACTTGACTGTTAACTCTTTCCCTTCGCTCCAAAGAGGATTTTGACTTACTTTGTTTCAACCAAACCGACTGCCCGGGACAGTCACTTTCTCCCCATGTAGAAACACAAACGGCTGAGGCATACCCCCGCATCAAAGAGGGGGGAGGACCTCGAGAGAAAAACTTTATTCACTCCTCATTCCAAAGAACAATGGCTTTATTTAGTCTGAAGGTTTCAGTAGTGAGAATATGAAGTGAGGGGATGACTCCCAAAGGGCTGAGGTGTGGACAGAACCCACGCGAGGGGGCGGGGAGTGCACAAAATTGATGGAATGTTCAAGGAATGTAGCTGGGCAGGGAATTATAAACCCGGTAAAGTGGGATACTGGAGCATTGAGGACAGGTGAAACATGAGCAAAAGGGAAGGGGGGGGTGGTTTTAGTCTGTGTGTCCCTGAAGAGATACTTCCAAGCACAGGTGGTTGGGGCTATATAGAAGGGGGCTAAGGGAGTAATGGGGAGCAGGTCAGAAAAAGCAGTTGCAAAAATTTCAGAAGCCTATAAATGACATGGTCCAGGAGTTAAGACTTGGGGGAGAGGGGGGAGTGGAATAGAGAAATATTTAGAGAACTCCCAGGAAAAGCAAACCACAGAGGAGAAAGTGGCGGGAGGCGGGGAAGGGGTAGTGAGAGAACACGTAAAGGAGCCCACGCCACATGCTGTTCGCGTTTCTTGAGCCCTTTTCTACTCCTACCAACCCAAGGCACTTCGTTGTTCGATAGCGGTAGGTACCCACCTTTCCCAGGAGGGCGCTCCTGCTGGCTGCTGCCAGCTCTCGAAGACTGGCGGCGGCGCTGGTGCCCCCGGAGATCGTGGCGGCTGCTGCGGCGGCGGCTGGGTGATAGGCTGGAGACCCCGGGGCATTGCCTCCACCTCCTCCACCCCCTCCAGCTGGGGTAGGACCATGACCTCTGGCCGTGGGGCTATTCCCGTTGCTGCTGCAGCTGCTGCTCCCACCTCCCCCGCCGCTGCCTCGGGGTCTCTGGCGGATGCCATCCAGCAGCCTGACTAGCAGGATGTTGGCGGGCAGTTCGTCCACCCCACAGCCCACCAGGATGCGACACTCGGGGCAGCGCAGCTCGTGGCGAGAGCAGACGATACTCTCTAGACAGCGGCGGCAGAAGGTATGTTGGCACGGGAGCACCTTGGCAGTAGTGTCCAGACGTTCCAAGCACACCGAGCACTCCAGCAAATCCAGCAAGGAGGACTCGTCCATCTCTTCTGCTGCTGCTGCTGCTGCTGCTGCTACTCGCCTCCTCCTCCTCTCGCCTTGCCTTTCCTCTTCTCCTTCGCTCTGCGCCGCAGCGGCTTTGGAAGCGCACAACCAAGACGCTCCTAGGAGCATGGAGTCCGGTGGTGGTGGCTGCAGGGAACGCAGCAGCCCTAAGTCCCCGGTACTGTGGGCCTGCCGCTGGCAGGAGGCATCAGGGCAGCCACCCTCCAGGGGAGACGCGGAAGAGAGGACCCAACCAACTTCATCCACAAATTAACAGCGGGTGTAGCCAGGAAACGCTAGGAATGAAGAGCAATGGGGAAGGGGGAGTTTTCCAGCTCCCTCCCTCGATCTCTGGACGTGATGTCACCACCTCCCCTCTTCCTAAATGCGCTGGGTCCCGAAGGCTACAGGAGCAGCAATGAAAAAGTGGCGCAGAAACAGCCCTTCGGACGGGCTTCAGGAGTTAGGCGCTCTCTGGGGAACCAATTCGTACCCGGTTCCAAGCCAAAATCTCACCCTGCCTTGCAGCTAGATCTCCAGACCCCCTCCCTCCCAAGTCCCTGGGCCTCCCGAGCAAATCAGCTGTCCTCCCCGCAGGGGGCAGGCAGGCATTAGGATAAGATGTGCTACACCTGTCTCTCCCACGCGTGTCCACGGGTGGGTGGGGCGCAGAGGGTAAAATCGGTCAAGCGAGGGCAAGACTTGACTTAGTGGGCTCCAAAGGTTCAGTGGGGGCCCAGGGAGCCAGCGATGTAGCCTTCAGACCGAGGAAAGTGAGAAAGCAAACGGCAGCAGCAGCTGAACCTGCAAGACCAGAGGAGTCTCAGGAGCTTTGTCAGAGCTTCCCCACCGCAGCCCTGCCAAACAGTACCGCCTCCGCGGCTTCTCCATGGGGCTCCCCAACACCTGATCGCAGGTCCCTGTCGCCTCCCTCCCGGGAGCTCCTCGCGTTAGCTGGATCCTCCCTTTTCCTCCAGGAAAAAAAAAGTGCACTACAAGCGAGGACTGAAACAAACTGGCAGGGAGGTCAGTCACCTTCACTGCAGGATGCTGGGCACACAAGACGAGAGGAGGTTAAGGGAAAGGGCAAAAATCCACCTCTCAATACAGTAATTTGTTCTTCCCTCTAGCTGACTGGTGGCAGCCCGTGATCCACCTTATATAATCCTTCCGGAGTCGTGAAAAAGGAAGGGGGGGGGGAACACTTCACGTCTGTCTTCTCACCACTGATAGTCTCTCTTTCTCCCATCGACTATTACCATGTTCTCACCCCAAGTAGAAAGATATTTACCGTGGAACTCAGGGATTCAGTCAAGCTGATCTGAACAGAAAGGGGTCATAAAGTTTGGTTTGTGTTGTCAGAATCCTCCTCTTCATCTCTGGAGTCGGTTGGGATTGGGGTTTGTTTGTTTTGTTTTTAGGAGATACTCGGGCTGAGCAAAAGATGCATCATTCCAGACCGATAACTCTCTCGAGCATCCTAAGCCTTCTCTCTCCCCTCGGCTCCTCCGGAGGATTGACAGCTACAGAGATGCCCTGGGATGCTGCTGCAGCAGTCACGGCTGCTCCAGCTAAGCTTGGTGCTAAGCACTGGAAGGGAGAAATTCCTGAAGTTCTCACTAGCTGCGCAATTCGCCGCGTCTCTAATCTCCAAGACAGTTTACGGTTACGCACTTGACCTCCGGGCTCCCGACCCTTTTCAGCAACTGCTTGAGCAAGGCCTCCGGCAGAACTGCAGATCCTTCAAGGCTCTGTGCCCTCTTGCTGCCCTCTTAACGCCCAGCAGGGACACACTGCCCCTCCTCTGGCTGAAAGTGATCGCCAGAGAAACTCTCTGTGCTCTCCCACGTCCAAGGGAACGCAATTCCAGTGATTGAGATATCTTGGAAGCCTCCTCCCTTCTCCCGCTGCAACACCTCTTCACTCCTACTCGAATTCCCCTTTGGGTAAGAGAAGAGGAATGGATAGGGGGAGGGAAAGAATCGATTTCTCCTGCCCGACCCCCTAGCTCAGGAGAGCGTCAGAGCAACGGAAATACGTACGGGAGGAACTGGAGAAGCTGGGGAAGTTTGGTAGGTTTGCTTACCAACTGGAGAGAAGATAATTCCCTGCAGCGCGCTGCCCCCTCGTGGTGGTAGTCTGTCCCAAATTCAGAATTTGTCTCCACTGACTTTCAGATTTGTAGTCTTCTTGGCTGGCCGGACGAACGTCTATCTCTTATGCAGTGATCACAGCATCTTCACAAGGTCAGAGTATCCCAAGGACCTTCAGTTTCAGGATTTTTCAAAAGGGGGAGGGGGCAAGCTAGGACCTGCCACACCCTGAAAATTATAACCCTGGATCATGAAGGTCACACTCTCTTTGTGTGTAGGGGGAAATTTCTCATAAACCAAAAGACACTACAATTAGAAAATGACCTTGGAGATCATGTCCCACTCTTGAATTTTACAGACGGAAGGTGGACCTGAGGCTTAGAGAGAAAGTGAAGATTTTATAATTCCCATTTTTGACAATCAAAGTATACAAATCATTCTAACCATCACTAAACAACCTCTCCCATTTGGAAGCCCGTATTATTTCTTTATGTAGCTTAGAGTGGACAAACAACTAAACTCGCTATATCTACACAGCCATAGACCATGCTTCACATCCCCTCCCCTCTGTTCACCCCAGCCATCTTACCATCTTTTCTAAGTCTGCTTGCAATACCCCTCCTCCTCTGCTTTCCACCTCTTGCTCTGTCCATCAATAATCAAATCAATACTATTATATTATCATTGTTCCTAGAAAGAGTCAGTCAATTGACTTCTGTAAGGATCAACTCAGTAGCCCTGTGATTCTCTAGACGCTCCCTTCCCTGGCCACCACTCTAACATATGAGTTGTCTGCCTCTATTAGAATAAGCTCCTTAAGTGAAGGGACTGACTCATCTTGATGATTGTGTGGAATTCCCAACCTGACAACTAATAAAAATTTAATGATTTTTTTTCCTTTCACACATTCACTCCATCTCCTTTTCCTTGTTGTAGTCCCTACATCTATCTTTCATGGTGCCTTATTTTGTTTGATCCATTCCAAAGTCAAGTTCGCCTCCATTCTCAGCCTTCTTTACTTTTACACCCTCTCATTCCCAGGGGGACATCTCCAGTTGTCCTCATCTATATTTTGTCACTGGACCCAGATGGCTCCAGAGGAGAAAGTGAGGCTGCTTATTTTGCACAGTCCTCCCTCACATAAATCCAATTTACTTATAAGTCATGACATCACCTTCCTCTTCAAGAAGGAAGGACAAACAACAATTCTCACTTGGACTGAAAATGCTTCATTGTAACCTCACATCTCCCAGCCTTTCCTACTTTCCTCACTTCAATGATGCATTTACCTTTTCTTTTAAAAAAATATTTTTAGCATTCTTTACTTTTTAGATTTTGAGCTCCAAATTCTCTCCCTCCTACCCCCTCTCCCATCCACTGAGAAGGCAAGCAAAGTGATATCAATTATACATGTGAAATCATGCAAATACATTTCCATATTAGCCATATCACTCCCAAAAAAGCAAGAAAATTATACTTCAGTCTGCCTTCAGAATTCATCAGTTCTCTCTCTGGAGATGGATAACATTTTTTCATCACGAGTCCTCTCTAATTGTCTTAGATCATTGTATTGATCAGAGTAGCCAAGGCTTTCATGGTTGATCATCATTACAACACTGCTGTTGCTATGCACAAAGATCTCTCAATTCTTCTCACTTCATTTTTTTTGGGTGAGGCAATGGGGTTAAGTGACTTGCTCCAAGTCACACAGCTAGTAAGTGTTACCTGTCTGAGTCTGGATTTGAATTCAGGTCCTCCTGACTCCAAGGCCAAAGCTCTATCCACTGCACCACCTAGCTGGCCCTGGTCTCACTTCATTTTGCATCAGTTCACGTAGGTCTTGCCATATTTTTTCTAAACGCACCCACCTCATCATTTCTTATAGCACAACAGTACTCCATCACAATCATATGTCACAACTTCAGCCATTCCCCAATTGATGATCATCCCCTCAATTTCCAATTCTTTGCCACCATAAAAAAAAAAGCTGCTACAAATATTTTTGTACATATAGGTCCTTTTCCTTTTTATTTCATCTCTTTGGGGCATAGACCTAATAGTGGTATTGCTGAGTCAAAGGATATGCACAGTTCTATTGACTTTTAGGCATAGTTCCAAATTGTTTTCTAGAATGATTTGACCAGGTAACAACTCCACCAACAGTTAGTGTACCTATTTTCCCTCACCCTCTCCAGCATTTGTAATTTCTGATAGGTGTGAGGTGGTGCCTCAGAGTATACATACATACATACATACATACATACATACATACGTATACATATATATATATATATATATACATATATATATATATATATATATATATATATATATATATATAATCTTAAATCAATAGTGATTTAGGGTATTTTTTCCTATCACTATAGATAGCTTTGAGTACTTCATCTAAAAACTGCCTGTTCATATCCTTTGACCATTTATCAACTGGGGGATGGCCCTTATTTTTATAAATTTGACTTGGTTCCCTATCAGAGAAACTTACTCTAAAAGTTTTGATATTACTTCATTGTCTATAGTATGTTTTACCAAAATGTAGTTTCCCTGATTCTCTCTTTTAATTAGATCTATTTTTGCTTTGTCTGAGATCATGCTTGCTACCCCTATCTTTTTTTCACTTCAGCTGAAGCTTAATAGGTTCTGCTCCTGCCCTTTATTTTAATTCTATGTATGTCTTTCTGTTTTGAGTGTGTCTCTTATAAACAACATACCATTGGATTCTGGCTTCTAATATATTTTGCTATCTGTTTCTGTTTTATGGGTGAGCTCATCCCATTCATATTTACAGTTGTAAGTACTGTGTATTCCCCTCCATCCTATTTTCTTCTATTTATCCTTTGATGTTTTCATCCTGTCCCTCCTCAAAAATCCATTTTGCTTCTGACCACTGCCGCTATTAATCCTCAATCCATTTTATCACCCCTTCCTCTCTTATTTCCCCAATGGGTAAGTTACATTTCTACACACAACTGTGTGTGTATTATATTCCTCCCTCTTTAAACCAATTCCAATTAGAATGAGGTTCAAGCCTCCAATGGTGCCTGACACAACCCCCCATTTCCCCTCCATTGAAAAATCTGTTCCTTGTGTGCCTATTTTATGAGGAAAATTTTCCTCATTCTGCCTCTCTTTTCCCCTTTCACCAAGTGCATCCCCCTTTCTCACTCCATTTATTTTTAAATCATCCCAACATAATCAATTCATACTCACGCCCTCTATCTAGACACTCTTTCTAATTGCCCTAATAATGATAAAGTTCTTAGGCATTACATCTATCATCTTCCATATAGAAATGTTAGCAGCTTAACTTCATTGAGTCTCTTATGATTACACTTTCATGTTTACCTTTTTATGTTTCTCTTCAGTCTTATGTTTGGATGTCAAATTTTCTATTTCTGTTTCATTAGGAATGCTTGAAAGTCCTCTAGTTCATTAAATATTCATTTTTTCACTGAAGGATTATACTCAGTTTTCTGGGTGGGTTATTCTTGGTTACAATCCTAGTTCCCTTGCCTTCTGAAATATTTATATATGTATACATACATACATATACATATATATATATATACACACACACATATATGTGTATACACACACACACACACACACACATACACACACATATAATCACTCCTTTAACATGGAAGCTGCTAAATCTTGTGTGATCCTGACTGTGATGCCATGATATCTGAATCATTTCTTTCTGGTTGCTTGCAATATTTTCTCCTTGACTTAGGAGCTCTAGAATTTGGCTATAATATTCCTGGGGAGTTTTCATTTGGGGATCTCTTTTAGGAGGTGACTGGTACATTCTTTCCACTTCTGTCTTGAACTCTGTAGCTAAGATATTGAAGAAGTTTTCATTCATAATCTGATTTATTTTAAACATAAATATATAATAAGAAAAAAATATTAAAAACTTAAATATTAAAACTTAAATACAAAAGAAGGGGGAAAAGCATTGCTATGTGCACAGCAGAACTTGAGAGAATTCAAAATATATAGCAATAAATTTCCATTTCAAGTAAATACTGCTTGTTGTGTTCAGAGCCCTCCATCTTTCTTTGCTTCTTTGTAAGTTTTCTTTTGTTCTCTGCTGTGTACTTTTTACTTTGTCCTTTATTAGCTCTTCTTCCCCCCACTCCCAGAAGGTACAATTAAGCATGGATATACATACATATACACACATACATACATGTATGCATACATACATACATAGAAATATACACACAAAGATATATATGTGAATATACACATGCATCCACTTATATACACATACATATACTTAGATATCTACATATATACTCATATATACACATATACATTCATATGCATCTATGCAAGACTATACTATACTTACTTGTCCTCTGTTTCTCTGATGGTGGATAACCTTTTCTTTCATAAGTCCAAGTCTTTCCATATTTTTCTAAGTCCACCAACTCATCATTTCCTTCACCACAGCAATTTCCATCCTTATACTGTCCAGTTATTTTAAATAGTCTAAAACAATATTGATCAATATGGCTGACATATAGTAAGTATCGTTTCCCTATTTTTCTCTCATGATTAAATCTATTTTAGCTTTGAGATCTTAAATACTATCTCTGCTTTTTCCGCCTTAATAAATTCTACTCCTGATCTTTATCTTATATTTGTGTGTATCCCTTATTTCCTATCCCTCCTGACTCCTCTGCTTTACTTCTACTGGATACCTTGCCCTCCTATTACTTAACCTACCCCCCCTCAAGGATCCCTCCCTTATCCTCTCATTCCTGTTCATTTAAACTCCGTATTATCTTACCTTATCCTAATCCCTCACTCTTCCCTCTAGAAATTCCTCCCTTATCCTCTCCCCTCTCCCTATCCCTTTAGCCTTTTATTTCTTTCTGAATTTAGAAGACTTTTAATACCCTTCTACTCTCAAAGCCATTCCCAATGAAAATAGGATTACAGAGTGACCGGCCCTCCTCCT